CATCTACATCAATTATTGCGTTTCCCAAACTGAAATTTCTACGCTTCAGGGGGATGAAAGAATGGGAAGAGTGGAATTACGAGATTACAAAGAGAGGAGATGAAGATATTACAGTCATGCCATCTCTTCAGACCTTGCAACTTAATTTATGCCCCAAATTAAAGTCTCTACCAAACCACCTTCATCAGATGACAACGTTGAAGATAAAAATTAAAGGTTGTTGTCTTCTTAGAACAGATAACAGATAATCTGGTCATCTTCATCTGATATTGATTAAGTTGTATGAAATTATCAACTTCAACACTGATTTTCCTTCAAACGAAAGGTAATTTCCTCTCTTTTCCCTTTTAATTATTTGTTTTATTACATTCTTTATCATTATTTTTTTTGGGGGAAAAACTCACATCTTTTAATATTTAATACCCTAATTATCAATCACCATTTTTGTACTCTCCTCCAGTTTTGAGTGACAGCTCATCATCATCTCCCCCAGTTTTGACCAACATCTATCAAGTCTTAATTTCAACTTTGATTCTGAAAAGGGACAACCTTTGAATTCTCAAAATGCTACAACCGTGATCAATCTACAGGTAATTTCTTCTCTCATTACCAGTTAGCTTCATTTTTATGATGAATAAATTTTAGATGAGATTATTTAGTGTTAATGCTTGTGAACAGGCAACATTTTATAACTTCTTGAATAAATAATTAAAGCATTAATTAGTATATTACTACGTGGGTAATTAGCTTCTCTGTTTTGGAGAAATTGATACTCTAGCAGTGCTTGTTACTTTGCTTAAATTATTAAACATATCGCAGTTATTAACATATTAGTCTTGTGTTTTTGCAATAGGATTTGAAACATTGCAAGGTCTTCTCAATTAAACTGAAAAATAGAAAAGAAAATAAAAAATTGTGTTTCATGGTAAGATCCCTAACTTCTAGCTTATTTGCCTTCATATAACATTGCAAGATTTTCTCATATTTAGATCTTAAAATTACATTCAGAGACAAAAACATTGAAATATCAGATTTTTTTTTTTTTTTTTTTTTTTTTAAGTTAAAACATCAATTTTCTATAGTTCTCTCAATTTTTTTATTATTTAAACCAATGTTTTAAAACCCAACCTAGGGTGAACCGGCAAAGCTTCCGGGTCCTGGGTTGACCGGTTTAACGGTCAAACTGGTTGACAAATTTTTTTAAAATTCAGCAAATATACCCCTGAAAATTATGTTAACTCCTTATATGTTCAAAATTTATCAAATACACCCCAAATGCAAATCGACCGGCGACTGATTGGCGGTGGCGACACCTCAGATGCAACCCCAATCGTCCCTTGAGCCCATTTCCATCAAAATATACCCAAGATCTAGCCAAAATAGGTTCGATTTCGGCTAGATCTCACTAACATCGACGTTAGCATTCCAGGCCAGATCTTATCAATGCCGACGTTGACAACCCTCCCCATCACCCATGAATTACTCCCCTTTTCCTACAGACCAAAACCCACCTCACCCCACCCCCGTTAGCCTCGCCAATCGCCGGCAAAATCTCATTGTTGCCGCTGCCAGTTTTGTTTGATTTCCGGTAGATTTACTCACCGGAAATCAATCTGTCACCACCATTGCATTCACTGACACTTTCTCTTCAAAAGCCCTAACATTCCGGCCATCAATTGTTCACCGATCATCCTCACAAATCCTAGGGTTTTGGGTGAATAGGAAAAATATAAACCCGGCCCGTTAAAGCTTCTGGGTCTCGGTTGAACTGGTTCAACCGACTGGGCTGGGCCGGGTTTTAAAACATTGATTTGAACTCCATTTACTATATTGCTGCATATTAACATACTAGTCTTCTATTTGTGCTATAGGATTTGGAACATTGTAGAGTGATTAACAGAACATGGTCATCCCTTCTAGAACCAGAAATTGTTTCATGGTAAAGATTCCTAACCGTTAGCTTATTTGTCTTAACAGAATAACATACATAGCATTGCAAGGTTTTCTTATATTTAGATCTAAAGTCATGTTCAGACTCGAGAATTTTTGTAGTACTGTATAATGGATTATTCAGCTACATCATGATTCTGGTTCTTTGTGGAAGTATTGTAATGTTTAACCCCACAATTTATTAATTACTTTCCAGATTTTGCAAATGCAACTCAGTCTCAATCAGCATCTTATCTGTTGATGTTACCATCACTTTTTTTTTTTTCATTTCATCTCTTAGTTGAAGCAATAATCTCTCCAACTTCTGCTACTTATCTTAGTCAATAGTTTTTCCACATTATTATACGTTTAACTTTGCCAGAGACTGATTTTCTATTAGCTTTGTTAGACAGATTGTATCATTGTACTGTTTTGATTTATAGTGAAAATTCTCTGTCATACTATGACCGTGGACGTAGCCCAAATGGGTGAACCACGTAAATCATTGTGCCTCGTTTATTTTTATTNAAAAAAAAAAAAAAAATTCCCAAATAGGTGGATGAAAAAAATTGATCTTTCTTCCTTTCTTTGCCCAGTATTTCACCATCTCTTTGAGTTTCACTTCTGGGTTTTCTAGATTTTTTTCCCAAAAACCCACTGAATTAGCCAAAGAACCGAAATGGGTATCACAAAAATTTGATTTTTTGAGCTCAATTTTCATCATCTTTTTTATTTTTCACTTCTGGGAATCCTTAAAAAATCAATCTTTGTGTGTAAAGAAAGCTCAGATTTTGTGGGTTTGTTTTGGTGGTAGGTATGGAGAAGGGAGAGAGGAACCAGAGAGAAAATCCAGTTTTCGCGGGTGACCCGCGGGTCCACCCGTACCCGTACGAGCGGGTAGGGTGATGCACACTTTTAACCCGTTTTGCCCGTACCCGGCCGGCCCACCCGTTTGCCAGGCCTACTAATTGTCTGTAACTTAGGCATGCATAATATCAGTCTAAAGATTTGGGAGCCGGTCGCATGAACATAGCAGCCACCACTGAAACAGTGCTTCTGATCTAGAATTTTCTTCCTGAAAATTAAGTAATTATCAATCAAATATGGATCGCACAGTTCGGCTCACCAGGTTTGATTTAGTGAAGGCCTTGGGGGCAGCCCTCATGTACATTTCTCATCAAGAATTGAGATTTATGTGCCCTTTCTCTTTTGGTTTACAGTGTTTGCATTAGGAACATGCATATATATTGCATCTATGATTGATTGATTTATCGGCCTTTTTCATTTGGTTTATTAATATTTGAAAATGCTATCCTTACAAGGATAATACAAAAAGGGTTACAAAATGACATCAACAAGAATGAAAAAAAAAGTAGAAAAAACGGAAAAAGAGGGAGAGGGAGAGAAATCATGAAGATAAAGAGTGTTAATTGTCTTTATATGGTCCCTTTTGTTTTTGTTTTCATAAGACTAGCATTGCTCTTAGTCTTTCATGTTAATTTGAGGGTAATTGATCAGCATATTAAACAAAGAAGAGTAAACCATTTTTCCCACCCAAGGTTTACCTTAATGACACTTTCCCACCCAAAAATTTTAAATATCATTTTTTCACCCAAAGTTAATATTTTGTTACTACCCAAAGCTAATTTCGATGGTGAAAATTATATTTGTCACAACCATTTGAATCTTCGGTCTTCTCTCTACAAAACCCCTTTCACTCCGGCAATTGATTTTTCACCAACTGACCACCGTAAAGCTAGGGCTTCCTTTTCTTAGTTGATTTCCGATTGATTCCAATGACAAACATTCAAACGATCACCACTATTCCATCCATCAAGCTTCACGTTACAAAACCCTTTTTACCCTGGCTCCAAGTAACATATCGAACGTCCGCTGAGAAAGTAAAATGTATTTTGAGTATTAACAAAATATAAATTTTTAGTGGAAAAATGGTATTTTGAAACTTTTTGGATTGAAAAGTGTCGTTAAGGCAAACCTCGGGTAGGAAAAAGTTGTTTACTCATTAAACAAATTAGTACTCAAAATCATTTACTTTTAATTTATATTTTATTATCCACTCAAATTAACAACAATTATGTATTCAAATATTGTCAATAAATGTCTATTCTCGCTTTTCTTTGCTTATAATCATGGAAATTGTTGAAAGATACATGATAGCGAATATTGCTCTTAAAGTCATTATCATTCTTTGATTGACTTATTGTGTGTTCAACAAGCATAAATCAGCTCTCAAACAGCTCTCTGAAACAAAATATCCTATTATTAACTATTTCGATTTATCTCTAAATATTTGAAAACTATATTAAGTATTGAGTGAAAGTCTGAAATTAAACGGACATACAGTACTCATGTAAAATTATTTGATGTAACATCCTCATTCAATATAAATAAATAAATAAATTTATTCGTGTGAAGTTAATGGTGGAAAACTATCTTTGAGTGTCGAGTAGTTTAATAAAGACTTTTAGATGTATTACTTAAGAGGTACTGGGTTTAAATTCATTCTCAGTTGCTAATAAGACTAGCTACTAAAACTTTTATTTGACTGATAGTTTCAATGTTATTGGTGAAAGTTAGTCAAATTGAAAGAAACATAAATGCATTGTATTGGATGAAAGAGTTTTTACTAATAATAAGAAGAGCAGCTGATGGTGCAGGTACATCAACTTTATTAATCATCTCTTAAATTAAGAACTTGACTAGATTCAACAAGCTATATTTATAGTTCCCTTTATTTCTTTTCACTTTACTTTGCCAAAGAAAGTCCAGAAGATTGACAAAAGAGAAAAAAACATTAAGGATCAAATGTCATTGTTTTCTATCTTTAATTTTCTTTCTCTTGCGTATACATAAAAGTAAAAGCAAATCAAAGCAAAAAATTAATTGAAATGACCCATACGGAGGCAGTTACTTTTACTTAATTTTTTTTTTCTCTTTTTCTTCTCCCTATAAAGTGTGTTAAATATATTCAACGTGTGTAGTGAGTATGCGTGAGAACTGAGAATTGCTTCAACTTCCAGTAACTAACAAGAGAATTGAGAGAGATCTAGAGAGAAATTATGGAGAAGTTAACAAGTTTGAGCCACCTCTTTGTGACAGTCTTCCTCTCAAGATTCGCTAGCTTCATGGTGATTCCAGCCATTACCGATGTCACCATGTTCGCTCTTTGCCCTGGTCAGGATGAGTGCTCCCTCGCCATTTACCTCACCGGATTCCAGCAGGCGGTACGTTTGTTTCTTTAATTTCCTTTCATATAATTTTACTTTTGACAATTAAACCTCGACAGAAGGGGGAGAAATTTTGATGAAATCAACAAATAAGAAAATAATTCCTCTCAATTAATATGCATGAGTTACATTCCACTGATTATGCATGATTTTCTGTCTAACTTTGAGGTATTATTGCATCCATCAAGACCCCTTTTTTTTTTTTTTTTTCTTTGGTTATCTCTTTTTGCTTGGTTATGGTAATTTTTCTCCAAAGGAGGAAGAGGAGATGCTTCATTATTTTACAATAATGGTAGGCCGGAATCAACCTTTTTCTCTCTCTTCGTCACCGACACTACCAACCTGCAATTAATAAAAAATAAAAAACATGAACACCATTAATGGTTTCCACTTTCCAAAAAGGATGTAAGGATATGGACCCTCGTGTTAATTAATTCTGAGAAATTAACACTCCATCAGGCTTATACAGTATATTGTTCAGTAAATTCATTCAACAAGTAGTTCATCTTTTGTGAATTGTGATAGAAGTTAGAAAATATCAAAGGAAATTAATAAAATAATTATTTTTTTCTTTTTTGAACTTGCTGCTATTTTTAATTCATTTTCTTATGTGATGTACTGTGCATGAATATCTTATCTGGGTAGTATATATTAAGGTTTGAAACATGCACACGTGGTTAAATATGAAGCTAGCAAAGCCCTAATTGTCTTTATTTTTCTCACCAACATTTCAAACCTACCATTTTTGTGTATGTGTTTTGCAACCCTCCATATTTATCAATATCATCAGCTGTTACTTCAAGGAGAATTTTAATGAAACGAAAAGAAACATATAAAGAAACAAATTATGCTTTTAATGAAACGAAAAGGAAAGGAGGAGAAACTTAGAGATATGTACATTTTTAATTAATTATCATTAGAATATCTGTATTTAAGAATTTTGGTGTATATATATAGCTATATACATCAACTGATTATAATATTGATACGATGAATACAGATAATAGGATTAGGAACGATGGTGATGATGCCAGTAATTGGGAATCTATCAGACCAATACGGGAGGAAAGCCATGCTCACATTGCCCATGACAGTATCCATCATTCCTTTAGGTAAATTAATAAACACTACTCTCCATGTGGGTGCTTCTTCCTTTTTCGTTTGGTTCTTTTTTTTTTTTTTTTTCGTCTCTAAGTGCTCTTGTGGTCTGCATGCTCTTGTAAGCTTTTTGTTTTTGCATATACGACATATAATTCCACCTAACTAATGTGGCCCATTTGTGCGCATGCTGATGCTATCTCACTTTGTGTGGCTTGGATTCTAATTAAAATATCAATCCTACTCGTATCATTTGTCACTGTCTCGGTGTCTTCCTCCCTCGTCTAGACTTTCTGCAGCGGGGTTTTGAAATAAGGGGTCTCTTCACATCATCAATTGATTCATCACGTCTTCCCAATTCACATAATGACCCAATTCAAGCCAATACGTATACAAACAAACAATGCACAGATCATCTGTGTTCGTTTCTGTTCATACTGTCACTGAGATATTTCTTTTCTTTGTTTGAATTGGCTATTTTTATTTTAAAATATGAACTCAAACGAAAATAAGAAGTTTGATTTTATATTCTTAAAATTTGACAATGAGTTTACTATGTTTTCTGAAAACAGTTTTGAAAATTGGAAATGAAATATTGCACATTTTTCAATATAATACAAACAATAAAAATGGAAAAAAATTAAAAAATGAAAACATTAATGAATAGGCCATTTAACCACCGCTAGATGGTTCAGCGGTCAACTAAGACTCTTTGGTGTATTATTCAAGTAATCATGAGTTCAATCCATCTAGGTTGTTAATAGGGATGGCCAGTGAGAGGATTTATCCGTTAACTTCAAGGTCCTAAGGAATTAGTTGAGGTATGTACAAACTAGGTCAGACACCCAGGTCATCCAAAAAAAAAAAAAAAAAAAAGAATAGGCCATTTAAGTGTCGAAAGTGCTTAATTTATTTACCATATGTTCTATGAACATGCCATGGTTCTATATGAGAATTCTCCTCTGTTTTTTGGGCAAACCGCAAAGAAGATTAAAGTAGCTGATCCATGATCTTCAAGTTTCAGTACTATTCATACATATAAATGATGAAATGGGAATTATTCCAAGCTCAATTTTCATGATGTTTTTGTAGCTATTTTGGCATATAGCAGGACCACCAGCTTCTTTTATGCCTATTACGTTATCAGGACTCTCACTGCCATGGTTGGTGAAATCAGCATCAATTGCCTAGCTCTTGCTTACGTGGTAATTAATCACATTATAATCATCTTAATCTTTTCTAATTAATTAGGATAATATTTCATACATAACTAGTTGTCATGTTAATTTCTCAGGCAGATAACATCCCAGAAGGACAACGGGCATCAGCATTCGGAATTTTATCTGGTGTAGGTACCGGCGCCTCCTTTGTCTGTGGAACCTTGGCCACTCGTTTCCTCTCCACAACTTCCACATTCCGGGTTGCTACATACATTATTTGGAATTTATATTTGCTGCCTCTGTTATATTTTATTGCATGGTTTTGACATATATTTTGTGTTTCCTTTGCAGGTTGCTACATTATTCTCCATGATTGCAGCTGTGTACATGAGAGTTTTTCTCAAGGAGAGTTTACGCCCTGATGAGGATGGTTTAACGCAGCCAATTATCAAAGGAGGACCGGATGATAATCAAAATGAGAGGGCTGATTCTCCAAGGAAGATATGGGAATTCAAGAACATCCCATCAGTAAGGGATGTTACTTGTTTACTCAAGACTAGGTAATGCTTTCTAAAAGGTTTTGATTGATTGAATTAATTTAAAATTTAATCAGAAAACTTGAATCTAAACTTGTTTGCAGCGTTACCTTTTCGCAAGCGGCGGTTGTTTCATTTTTCAGCAGTCTAGCAGATGGAGGAATACAAGCTTCATTACTGGTATACCTTTTAATGCATAATTTTCTATATGAATGTACACCAAATTCTATTATAATTACTAACTTTTAAGATCTTATCTCATGTAGTACTTCTTAAAGGCTCAATTTCACTTCAACAAAAACCAGTTTGCTGATCTGATGCTAATTCTTGGGGTTGCAGGAATGGTTTCACAGGCATGTCTTATCTAACTCTGTGTCCCCATGCATATTCTGTATTTCATTTACTAAATTCGAATTCTTTGGAATCCTGCAGCTCCTTTTCATGCCCTTTTTAGCACCTATTATTGGAGAAAGAAAACTGCTTTCGATAGGGCTTTTTGCGGGTTGTATAAATGTAAGTTTCAACATCTTGCTCTGTTAATTATTTTCCATATCAATATGTGATGGAAGTTATTGGGAGTTTTTATCAACTCTTGATGTCATGAGTTATTCTTGCATGGATGAACTGAGATATAGATTTTAAGTGTACAGTTTATGTTCACATCTGAGAATTTCTGATACAACCCAGTACATGTGGCTCAAAACTACTGATATTTTCTTTGTTATCATGCAGATGTTAGTTTCCAGCATCGCCTGGGCAACTTGGGTAATTGATTTCTTCAACAAAGTTTCAATAAAGTAGCTTCTTCCTTTCTTCTGCTTGTTCTGTTGCATATATTTCTTTAAACATATTTTTATTACTGCAGGTTCCATATGCAACCACTGCTTTTGGTGTTTTCGCTGCCTTCGGAGCTCCATCGGTAAGTTATGTTGTCTAGTTTTTATTGCTTAAGGCTAGCTTAACTGATAGAAATAGTACGCTTACTGATTAAATTTTCTATCACAGTTACGCAGCATTGCATCGAAACAAGTTGGGCCACATGAGCAGGTAATCCCATCATCCAATATTGCTTTTCATTGTTATGACTTGTTAGATTTCTCATCAACTGCGAATGTTCTGATTTCTCTAAAATCGGGACTTAAAACTCTTGATAGAAGGAAAAGTCTGATTAAGATATCTACGCCTGAGAAAATTCATTTATTGTTTCATCTTCATGTGTGCTAACTTATGTTCTAACTCTTCATAACAGGGAAAAGCTCAAGGATGTATATCAGGCATAAGTTCCCTTGCCACCATTATTTCTCCATTTATATTTAGTCCTCTGACAGGTAAGTGAAAGAATTGAAAACTTTCTAGTTTTACAAGGCAGGAGATTAATTAATTAATTAATTAAATTCTGGTTTTGTCCATCCAGCTCTGTTCCTTTCTGATGGGGCACCATTTTATTACCCGGGGTTCAGTATTATGGGCATTGGACTCGCATTGGTATGAACTCTCTTTATGGATTAATAGAACTCAATCTGACACATTGTTAGCCTCCATGTTATTCTTATGTTGAAACTGTTTTTTCTTTCTCGTGGAGCTAATACCAGAAAACCTGTGTTTTACTCAGATGATTGCATTCATTCAAAGTCTTATGATAAGGGATGCTCCTTCAACTTCCAAGTCACAAAATCAGTACTGCATAGTGGCCGAGGCCTAGTTCTCTGAAGCTTATGATCTACTCTAATGTAAAAGGTGATTCTCGTTAGTCTTTAAGCTGCTGGAGCAATGTTACTGTATCGGTACGCAAGGAGAAATCTAAGAAAGATCTTGCTGGAGTTACTGTGAATTCAAGCTCAGCTAATGACAGAAGGGTTTATCCTTTGATTTATAGGTTGCTTCCATTAGGAAGAAGAAAAAGTTAAGTAAATACAAATTATACAGTCATGAGAGTAGTCAGTATTCGATAAGACAACTCTCCATACTCTCTTGTATTAGGTCCACAGAATGTAATATCTTCATCTCGTTAGCTTAGACTCTGGGAATTTATCAGAGCTTCTATATTGTAAATTGCTCAAATACACATAGCATTTTGTTTATGAAGTGACTCAACAAGTGTTGCTTGAAGACTAACAATAATAAACTTAATTACATTGCTTCCTGCATATTCCTACTTCCAACAGCCAACACTAACCTAGAAATTTGATGAAGAGATGATCAAGTCAAGCACTAGTGCAATTTAAAAGATTTTGGCTACCTGGCTCCAAGAACTGGGAAATCTACAATAAGTTGCTAAAACTCTCAGCCTTCCATCTAAAAATGGGACCATCTTGTTCTATTGTACACTCGTGTCCGAAACCTTAACAAGTAAAGAGAGTTGTTATACAACACTTCCTCACTAGGAAACCTAAGAACATGCCAGGGATCTAAAAGCTTAAGTGCAGGTTATGAATGCATATTGGCCTTCTCAAATGGGTTAAGAGTACCAAGCAATAATAATCATATAAAGTTACTCATTACTGCTCAAAACCCATCAACTATATGAGCAGAATTTAGGAAGTTCAATTTTCAGACTAAGAACAACAGCATGATTATTGCTTTCTGTATGACCTAACTCCAAGGGTCAAAAATCAATTCTAAAACTAAGGGGAATAGAACATATCAACATAATGCAATCAATCGTAAATTCAGAAAGATATCAAAATCAAAAGCTGAAGCACTATATTGCAAAAAATAGAGAGAGTTGTTTTGCTGCAGAGAGCCATAACAATTATGACTATCAGAAGTTTTGAGTCAGAACAAATTGACATCCAAGTCAAATATTGAATGATATTGTGGTACATTATGGTCTAAAGGTAATGCTAGCGCAATAACCTTGGCAAATATAAAATGCCAGTACACGAGATACATGGACAGTGCCATCCTATTTCAGGTGGAAAATATACAATGTACTTAACAAAGGACAGAAGCAATATGCTTTGAGAAACAGAATTTTATCGAGCAATGATACAGATAAATATCAAATTTACCAACAATAATCCAAAACACTATTAAAGGGACTGAATAGTGCAAGGATGAAATAAGTTTTATCTATAGCAAAGGTAAAAAACAGATAATGGAGGACGATTCCCCTTCTGTGCCGCAGTTGATGTCAGTTGCTCAAACCCTACTGGAAGGAGCTCCAAAAATAAAATCAGCTTCTAGCCTTTAATCACAGATCGAGGTACAGGTGTGATTATGCTATCCACAAATGTCAACACTTGAATTGAAAAACAAGGAAGGTGAATATCGAGGCACTCAAATATCTCTGTATTTGGATCGTATGACAGTAAAGAATTGCCACAATGTTCACAATCCCCTCGTACAAAAATTTTTCCCTTTCTTGTGAATCCTATTGGCCACCAAAAAATCTGATCCTTTTCAATTATGCATCGCCTAGTCCATGACTCAATTACACCATACTCCTTCATTACCCATAACTCATAAGCACGAAAAGAATTACGAACAGTACCAGCAAAAACACAAAGGCATCCATCCAAAACGTTCAAGTACTTGGCATCATCATCAATGGACATGTCCTCCGGCAACATAATCGTGTGGAAAACACCCTTGGAAAAGTCAAATGAGACTATGAGCCAAGTGCACTGACTATCAAGATAACAGCTATAGCGAGCACACCAATGCACAGATCCCTTGACAAAAACAGGACAATTAATATGACTACCATATATCTCAATACTTCGAAGAAAACCATCATCAATAATTTTCCATGAATTTGTCCTCAAACTGTAGACCTCAGCATTTGCATTGGCAGAGATAGTTACAACTTTGAAGTCATCGAGATGGCCACTCATTGAATTGACACCAAAACCTAGGTAACGAGGGTTATATGTGGGTTTGGGAAGGGTTATGTACTTGTTATTCGAAGGATTCCACATATAGATAAGCGAATGGTCAGCAGTGCTGCAGAAACAGAGAACGCCGTTACATGAACCTAACAAATCTAAATCTACAAGTCTTGAAGCAAATGGAGGATCATGAAGATTCTCAAACCGCTGACGTTTTGGGGGATAGAAGCCCAAATATGAAGGGCTGACACCATACCTAAAGAAAAGGAGACGAGGTTTTCTGCTGGATTTACTAAGATGGAATCCAACAAATGACTCGCTGGTTATTAAGTCATTCCATGATTTACACACACACCGCAGTCGAGCTAGATTCTTGATTGACAGTCGCAGAAAGATATCCACCACAACATCATCTGGAAGTCCTAAAGAGTTCCTCATCTCTCTCTCTTCACAACTCTGACAAATTTTAAAACAGTAAATATCATCAATAAAAATTTTGCACAATAGGTGATCACTCTTGTTCACAATATAATTTCACCACATACTTAAACTTCATGATATGTATATAAAAAACAGTAATACTACACCTCTAAGAAACAGATCAAATTTTTCATGCCATTTTATGGGCACCAACACGTCATTTAACACTTTAGCAAATCATACACATGTAACATGTTAGTGTAGCATGGGAAAACAAAAACTTGAATAAGAAATTTGTGATATTACTTGGACGTGAAGTATTATTTATTACAAACCACTACTAGAATCTAGTAACTTTGTTAAGCACAGAAATAAGAGCAACAACCCTGCTGACAAACTTCAAGAAAAAAAAAAAATTAAAGAAAATACGTGAGTAAATAAATTACATCAATCTCAAAAAAAATAAAAATAAAAATTGTGGAACGTATAGTAATAAAAACAAGAACCAGGCAAGACTGTACAACTTAAATTAATCAACAGAACTAATCAGTTGGGAAATTTTACCACCATGCTAAGGTAACCAATTAATCCCTTTGCATTCAATAATAATAATAATAATAATAATAATAATAATAATGAACTTTTGGTCGTGGGGGTCAAAGAACAAAGATACTGTTGATATACAAGCTAAGAACAAGCATTAAAGTTAGTTCTGTAAAAAGTATTCTAAAACATGCATAGCAACTGGGAAAAGAAAAGAAAGAAAAGAATTTGGAAGCTCAAGGGATGAAAAAACTTTACCTTCTTCATATGGGCTGAGATGTTTGAGATTGCCTTGAATTGTGCGATGTTTCTTCAAGATTCCAAGTGGGGTTTTAGAGAAAGCTGAGGGTAGGGGTTTTAGAGAAACTCCCCAGAGAGAAAACGAGAGAGAAACTGCTACTTTGTTGAAGATAATAATAATTTGTTGGCAGAAACGACATCGCTTTTTGAGTGCGATTCGATTTTAGTCAACTCAACTGTGGTCTGGTCTGGTCTGGTCTGGTCAGTTTGTGAGTATGGTTTATTGGTTTGTCCGTCGACTAACTTCCAAACGACAACCCGTAGTATAACGACTGGTCTTAACGACATGCCGTGCAATGATTAATAAAATGAATGACAAGACACTCACCGGTTTTTTACAAGGGAATCAGATACCTGCCATCAAATTATTAATTTATTATTATCTGACGTCTAACAATAACATGAAATGATAGTTCCTCATTTTTTTTTTTTTTTAAGTCGTTTTAAGGGTTTAGTAGTTTTTCAAATTAAAAATCGTTGCTTATGGAAATGAGTGAGGGATGACAGAATAAAAAAATAGCATAAGACAAATGTAAATTATTTAAATATGTAACGAAAAAGTTTTCCGCTGCAAAATTAGGGGAAAGATTTGGGTAAGAAAGACAAAATTTTTTTTATTAAAAACCGTGTACACCCTTAAAACAACTTTTAAACAAAATATGAGGGAGTACAACATTATTATTTCATTATTCTATATATAATTCATATTGTCTATTTTACTTTCATTTTTCAATTTATTTTGTGACATTTCAATTTATACAAATCGTTTCTAGTATTATTTCAACAATATTAAACACATTCCAGGTAGGGCAATATAGACTTTTGAGTATATTACTCAAGAGGTCTTGAGTTCGGTTCCTCTTTATTACTAATAGAGATGGTTATTAGAGGGTTTACTCTGCCTTTAACTTTAAACTCCAAAAGATTAGTTGAAGTACGCACAAACTAACATAAACACTCTCTTTATAAAATAATTAAATAAATAATATATATAGCGCGTTCTAAAATAAGTAAATAATTAAAACCTAACAGCCAACACCTATCATTTTAGACTTAATTAAATTATTAAAATTCCAAATAAATCAACCACTCTATTCTAGAAAAGTCATTGTTAAAATAACACACTTTGACAAAGACTACTAAAATTAATTGTATATTATTCAATAAATTAAATGTGATCGACTAAATTTGACAAGTGACTCAAACAATAAATGGAAGAGAAAAAGGTAGATTAGATGCATAATTACTACTCTTGTAAATAACACATGCTAGATTTATCATGCAATATGACAAGTCGCATATTGTTAGATAAAGAAAACGACATGTCGTAGATTACGGGCATTGCTCGCGGAGTACTCACCCAAAAACTTGAAGTGATAAAATTACATATAGACTTTTGGAACATGGCCTGTGACTACTGCTCCTATTACAACTCCTAACTATCAAACCCCATACGTTACTATATGGTGACTGCTTCTATTGAATACTTATTGTTCTAGTTAAGGGTTCATTCTCCCATAGATTTTAAGTTAGGCTAACCAGATTTGAGATATACATTGAGCTAGAAAAGGAATATAAAATAAACGACCTCTCCCTTTGTGGTTAAATGACAAACTCTTTAGTCATTAATGTTAGTTATACCTAGGGGTAAAATCGAGTCGAGTATCTAGTAAATCAAACTCGACTGGATCGCTACAGTAACGAGTTCGATCGAGTTCAAGTCTGATCGAGCTTGAGAAATCAAGTTCGAACTCGAACTCGGTACTTGAAATTGGAAATCAAGTTCGTATAATTGAGTTTTATTCGAATTTCAATCGAGTTCGAACTTGATTTTGAGCTCATCTAACAGGAGTGGATTTGCAAATTTTATAACTTTTAAATTACATATGAGCCCTATTACTTAAAAAACTATCAACTTAACCATTGATCTTGAAAATATTCACAAACGTATTGAGTTGAGTTCTATTGTGATCGAACTCGACTTGATTAACTACTCGAACTCGACTCAACTAATGTTGAGCCGAGTTCAAGCCAACATCGAGTCGAGTTTGAGTAGCTAGCAGGCGGCACGACTCGATTTTCACCCCTAGCCATACCTAAGGGGTCTTATGTTCGAGTCGTATGAGAGATGCTTACCACATTTGTGCAATTACCTTGGTCTATTGGGCTTGTAAGGTGTTATGCGGCCTTGAAGATTAGGCAGACTTCAATATAGGCTTGTAATTGTGTTTGAGTCACAAAAGAGGTATCAATCATATTTGTGCAATTGCCTTGGTCCATTGGTTTTGTATGGTGTTCCGTGAATTATATTCAAGTCGCAGAAGAGGTATCAATCACATTTATGCAGTTATCTTGGTCCATTGGGCTTGTATAGTGTTCTATGGCCTTACATTTGTGCAATTACCTTGGTCCATTAGGCTTGTATGGTGTTCTGTAAATTGTGTTCGAGTCACATAAGAGATATCAATCACATTTGTGCAATTACCTTGATCCATTAGGCTTGTATGGTGCTTCGTGACCCTCACATTTGTGCAGTTACCTTGATCCATTGGGCTTGTATGATGTTCCATGGCCCTGAGGATTAGGTAGGCTCCAATGTAGGCCTGAATACCTCATATACATGAAAAAACAAATTAGAACATATGCTTTTATACAAATACAGTAGAGCATCTCTATAGTGATACTCTATATAGGAATAACCTTCATGTAGTCATAAAAAAATTTGATCTCAACTTGGGCCAATTATAAATAAAAATAAATTTCACGTTGTAATAAGTTATAGTTTTTCTAAGTCTCGTCTTAAGGAATTTGTCTCTACATAGCAATAATTGTATTTATATTTTAAAAAAAAATATGTTATGTCACATTAAATATTTAAGATGAAATAAAATATCAATCTAAAATTGTTTGAGACAATGATTTATACTTTAAAGTTGTTATCATATCTTTTATCTTGCAGGTACATAATAAGTCGTCAACATGGATACCTGTTTTGAACCCAAATATTTCTAATCGCATGTTTGGAGCTTCTTGGCATGAAACTTTTGGTATTTTCGTACTATATTTATCTTCATAATTATTTCATTCCTCTTCTTATTTAATTCTAGTAATGATTTCTTATTTAGTTAAAACATACACGACTCGTTGCTCATTTGGATGATTAATAAATATATTAATATCCATTTGATTAGTGTAGTGAAGTTGTCGAATCTGATTACTCAATTTTCTAATTACTATTTGATATTCATTTCCATACTATTCTAATGCTACTAAAACAATGAATTGAAATCATAATATTACTAAAAGTTATAAAATAAGAAATCAAAACAATAATTTTTTAATCAAAATAACAATTCTTGTAACTACACCTCTATTAAGTTATAATCTCCTTATAATAATAAATTTAGTTAGTTCCAACATTATGACTATAGAGAGGTTCCACTGGATATGAAAACTTATTAATTATATTTGTTACATATTTCCTTATGCCTCTGTGTTTGTTGGTTTTTCCAAAGTGGGGATTACTCAAATTAGACCCAAAGATTTCCAATTATGTTATTGCCCGGTTGTATCTAGTTTGAATCACGTCTTCGAAAAGAAATCTTAAGGTGGGTATACTACATTTGCATATTTGCTATATAAATCTTGTCATGTATGTATCATTATAATTAATAATTAAATGCATGCATGAGAAGAATTTATGGATGCACAACACACTCTATATAAATTATCATATATGCAAATGCTTGCAAACAAGACTCTGCATATCTAGATAATAATAATTTGTTGGCAGAAACGACATCGCTTTTTGAGTGCAATTCGATTTTAGTCAACTCAACTGTGGTCTGGTCTGGTCTGGTCTGGTCAGTTTGTGAGTATGGTTTATTGGTTTGTCCGTCGACTAACTTCCAAACGACAACCCGTAGTATAACGAGTGGTCTTAACGACATGCCGTGCAATGATTAATAAAATGAATGACAAGACACTCACCGGTTTTTTACAAGGGAATCAGATACCTGCCATCAAATTATTAATTTATTATTATATTACATCTAACAATAACATGAAGTATACAAAATGATATAACATTATTATTTCATTATTCTATATATAATTCATATGGAAAATAATATAGCCACCGACGGTAGTGCATCGAATGACGTGATAAAATATTGACTGTTGATTAATTTTGATTTAATATTAATCAATTGTCAGGATTTTACCACGTCATTCGGTGCACTATCGTCGGTGACTGTAGCATTACTCAATTCATATTGTTTATTTTACTTTCATTTTTCAATTTATTTTGTGACATTTCAATTTATACAAACAATTTCTAGTATTATTTCAACAATATTAAGCACATTCAAGGTAGGGTAATATAGACTTTTGGGTGTATTACTTAAGAGGTTTTAAGTTCAATTCCTCTTGATTACTAATAGAAGTAGTATTTAAAGGGTTTACCCTACCCTTAACTTTAAACTCCAAATGATTAGTTGAAGTACACGCAAATCGGCCTGAACACCCTTCTTATAAAATAATTAAATATATATATATATATATATATATATATAGCACATTCTAAAATAAGTAAATAATTAAAACCTAACAGCCAACACCATATCAATTTAGACTTAATTAAATTATTAAAATTCCAAATAAATCAACCACTCTATTCTAGAAAAGTCATTGTTAAAATAACACACTTTGACAAAGACTACTAAAATTAATTGTATATTATTTAATAAATTAAATGTGATCAACTAAATTTGACAAATGACTCAAACAATAAATGGAAGAGAAAAAGGTAGATTAGATTGCATAATTACTACTCTTGTAAATAACACATGCTAGATTTATCATGTAATATGACAAGTCGCATAAAACGACATATCGTAGGTTACGGGCATTGCTCGCCGACTAATCACCCAAAAACTTGAAGTGCTAAAATTACATATAGATTTTTGGAACATGGCATGTGACTACTGCTCCTATTACAACTCCTAACAATCAAACCCCATACGTTACTATATGGTGACTACTTCTATTGAATACTTACTGTTCTAGTTAAGGGTTCATTCTCCCATAGATTTTAAGGTAGGCTAACCAGAATTGAGATATACATTGAACTAGAAAAGGAATATAGAATAAACGACTTCTCCCCTTGTGGTTGAATGACAAATTCTTTAGTCATTATGGTTAATTATACATAGGGTAAAATCGAGTCGAGTATCTAGTAAATCAAACTTGGCTTGATCGCTACAGTAACGAGTTCGATCGAGTTTTAGCCTGATCAAGCCTCAGAAATCAAGTTCGAACTTGAACTCGATACTTCAAATTGGAAATCGAGTTCATATAATTGAGTTTTATTCAAGTTTCAATCGAGTTCGAACTTGATTTTGAGCTCATCTAACAAGAGTGGATTTGCAAATTTTACAGCTTTTAAATTACATATAACCCCTATTACTTTAAAAACTATCAACTTAACCATAGATCTTAAAAATACTCGCGAACATATCGAGTTGAGTTCTATTGTGATCGAACTTGACTCGATTAACTACTTGAACTCGACTCAACTAATGTTGAGCCGAGTTCTAGCCAACATCGAGTCGAGTTTGATTAGCTAGCAGGCGGCACGACTCGATTTTCACCTCTAGCTATACCTAAGGGGGTCTTGTGTTCGAGTCGTAGGAGATGTACTTACCACATTTGTGCAATTACCTTGGTCCATTGGGCTTGTAAGGTGTTTTGTGGCCTTGAAGATTAGGTAGGCTTCAATATAGGCTTGTAACTGTGTTTGAGTCGCAGAAGAGGTACCAATCACATTTGTGCAATTACTTTGGTCTATTGGGCTTGTACGATGTTTCATGAATTGTGTTCAAGTCGCAAAAGAGGTATCAATCACATTTATGCAATTATCTTGGTCCATTGGGCATGTATAGTGTTGCATGGCCCTCACATTTGTGCAATTACCTTGGTCTATTGGGCTTGTATAGTTTTCTGTAAATTGTGTTCGAGTCACAGAAGAGATATCAATCACATTTGTGTAATTACCTTGATCTATTGGGTTTGTATGGTGCTTCGTGACCCTCACATTTGTGCAATTATCTTGGTCCATTGGGCTTGTATGATGTTCCATGGCCCTAAGGATTAGGTAGGCTCCAATGTAGGCCTAAATACCTCATATACGTGAACAAACAAATTAGAACGTATGCTTTTTATACAAATATAGTAGAACATCTCTATAGTGATACTCCATATAGGAATAACCTTCATGTAGTCATAAAAAATTTTGGTCCCAACTTGGGCCAATTGTACATAAAAATAAATTCTACATTGTAATAAGTTATAGTTTTTCTAAGTCTCAACTTCAGGAAGTTGCCTATACATAGTAATAATTGTAAGTATATTATTAAAAAAAAAATATATGTTATGTCGCTTTAAATGTTTAAGATGAAATAAAATATCTATCTAAAGTTGTTTGAGACAATGATTTATGCTTTAAAATTGTTATCATATCTTTTATTTTGCACGTACGTAATAAGTCGCTAACATGGACACCTTTTTTGAAGCCAAAATATTTATAACTACATGTTTGGAACTTATTGGCACGAAACTTTTGGTATTTCCGTACTATATTCATCCTCAGAATTATTTTCTTCATCTTCTTATCTAATTCTAGTAATAATTTCTTCTTCAGTTAAAGCATACACGACTTGTTGCTCAATTGGATGATTAAGAAATATATTAATATCCATTTGATTAGTATAGTGAAGTTGTCGAATCTGATTACTCAATTTTGTAATGACTATTTAATATTCATTTCCATACTATTCTTACTACTAAAACAATGAATTGAAATCATAAGACTACTAAAACATGAATTATAAAATAAGAAATCCAAACAATAATTTTTTAATCAAAACAACAATTCTTATAACTACACATCTATTAAGTTATAACCTCCTTATAATAATAAATTTAGTTGGTCCCAATATTATGACTATAGAGATATTCCACTGCATATGGAAACTCATTAATTGTATTTATTACATACTTCCTTTTGCCTCAATGTGTTTGTTGGTTTTTCCAAAGTGGGGATTACTCAAATTAGACCCAAATATTTCCAATTATGTTATTGTCCAGTTGTATCTAGTTTGAATCACGTATTCGAAAAGAAATCTTAAAGGTGGGTATACTACATTTGCATATTTGCTATATAAATCTTGTCATGTATGTATCATTATAATTAATAATTAAATGCATGCATGAGAAGAATTTATGGATGCACAGCACAGTCTATATATACATTATCATATATGCAAATGCTTGCAAACAAGACTCTGTCAATTGCCAACCTAGCTAGCTCTCTCTGATAATCAAAGCTATGGCTTAAGGCAAAACACAAAAGAAGATTGTGATGTTCCCATTCATGGCTTATGGTCATCTCAATCCTTTCATGGCTTTGGCAAGACAAATAGAAAGAAGAAAAGCCTATACAATCACCATTATCAACACCCCTCTTAACATTCAGAAACTTAAATCTTCACTCCCTCCAAATAATACCAACATAACCCTTGTTGAAATCCCCTTCAATGTTGGACCTCTCCAAGGCCTCCCACCTAATGTAGAAAACACTGACACTCTCTCCTATCAAGAAATTGTTCCCTTCATGCTTGCCTCTGCAGACCTTCAAGCTCCCTTTAGGAATCTCCTCGTCGACATGACGAAAAAAGATGGCTGCCCTCCTCTCTGTATCATCTCTGACATGTTCTTTGGCTGGACTGTTGAGGTTGCTAATTAATTTGGAATTTTCCATTCAGTGTTCATTGCGGGGCTGGTTACAGCATGGCTGCATATTTCTCCATTTCTCTAAACATACACAGATTTGAAGCTGATGATGGGGATGAGTTCTTTCTCCCGGACTTTCCTGAAGCGTCTCAAATTCAGTTTTCACAACTTGGGAATGATCTCAAGTACACTGATGCTGTTAAAGCCTGGTGGGCTTTCCGCGAGCGCCAGTTCTCGTTGTGCTTTCGTTCTGATTCAGTTTTGTTGAATACCATTAAAGGGCTAGAAGAGATTGGTGTTAAATATTTTAGCAGGAAACTGGGAGCTGGGAAGTCTGTATGGATGATAGGACCAGCCTGCTCTAGTGTAAAGAAAGATTATGACTTACACTCTAATGATCTTTCTTCATGGCTTGATGTTCATCCACCAGGGTCAGTTTTGTATGCGTCTTTTGGCTCACAGAATGCCTTATTGCCTTCACAAATGAGAGAGTTAGCCCTTGGCTTGGAAGCAAGTGGGAAACCTTTCATTTGGGTCATCAGGCCACCCATAGGTTTCTGTGCAACAAAAGAACCAAAGGGTGAAAGGTTTCCTGATGGATTTGAGGAAAGAATCAGGACAAAGAATCAGGGTATCTTAATCTTCAAATGGGCACCACAACTGGAAATTTTGTCTCACAAATCAACTGGTGCATTTCTAAGCCACTGTGGCTGGAACTCAGAGCTGGAAAGTTTGTGTCAAGGGGTGCCAATCATCGGGTGACCATTGGTTGCCGAGCAGATGTTTAACTCCAAGATGCTGGAGGAAGCCCGCGTCTGTATAGAGGTGGCAAGAGGAATAGATTCTGAGGATGTTAAGCGCGATCATATTGCAGAAGTAATCAAGATGGTATTGGGAAGAGTTAATAAAGGCGAGGAGATACGCAGGAAGGCTTGGGAAGTTAAAGTGAAATTGGAAGAAGCCATAAAAGAAGGTGAAGGATCTAAGGGATCTTCTGTCAAAGCCATGGATAAGTTCATCAAGAAACGAAGGGAATGTAAATGTCCCCTACGTTTAAGTAGAGAATAAATGCAATTTTTAAACATAATCAAAGGGGAAATATAATAAAAATCAATTAAATAAAAGAACACTCGATCCAAATATAACAACAGCAAAGCTGAGTCCATTTTTGGTTTCTTTTTCAAAATAGCAGCAGCTGCCAATGAAGATCAGTGCAATATCATACTATCATTTGCTAGGTACTTACCGAAATTATATGAACCAAAATAGACTACCATCACTCTTATCTGTAACAATTCTCCCAAACACATATTTCTAATTGGAGTTGGAGCTGAGAGATTTCAGCAGGTCGACCGAAACCGGAAGCAATACCAGCTAATATATATCCCAACTTTATACATAGAAAAGCATACTAATACTTTAGACCTAAAATGATAGCTGACATAATGTATTTAAAAAGAATAAGCATTAGGAGAAAACAATCATAGATCAACCTGGAAGAACTTGAATAATGAATAAACAGTTGACAAAAAATTGTTCTACTCAAAACAGTTTTATAAACCATGCTATGTACAGTTACTATCATTTTTTTCCTAGTCCAGAACAATGTCACAGCCTCGTTCAATAAACCAAATCTTCATGGCTCAGGCTCATGCTCTCCATCGTCTGAAGATCCACCACTGTTGGCACTGAACGTCAATATAAGTTCCAGAAGTTCCTGACCTGCAGCTGAGTTTTCACCAACACGCTCTGGATCTGGATCGGTCCTTCGCCTTTGCAGTGAAAATAACTGCATCATCAGGTCCTCCGGTGAAGATACATGGTGCATCCAGCCCCTAGCCTTCGGTTTGAACTGGACACAAAGTGCAAAATCACAAATGGTCATTATTAGCATTATCATAACCTCCAGCAAAATTATCAGAATCTTTATTGCCATCATCAACTTTAGTGCTTCCGTCATCATCGTCATCACACCAATCATCATCATCATCTACATCATTGACATATTCCAAGCTGTAATCATCATCGTCATTATCATAATCATCATCACCATTATCCCCATCATCGTCTTCATCCTCCTCATCATCATCATCTCCAACATCGTCGTCGTCGTCGTCATCGTCATCGTCATCGTCATTGTCATCGTCATCGTCATCGTCATCGTCATCGTCATCGTCATCGTCATCGTCATCATCAATATCATAAAAATAATAATCATCGTCATCACCAAGTGCAATCCAATGAATGCGACCAGGTAGCGGAACCTTTTCCAAACAAGAACAGCAGAGAAATTAGTTCCTCTGCTGCAGATATAGTATGCAGTATTGCAGCCCATTTCATATATACTCATTCATAAACAGCATATAACCAGCTTAAATGAACCATTCAGGCCCTATAGTCTATTAGCTTTCCACCTCTCCACCAATTCCTAGTAATGTAGAGTTTTTTTCCAACAATGGGGATATGAGTTGAACAGACAGGATCAAATGTTCTAAATATCTAAGATCTAAAGCACTAAAAGCTAAGGCTTCAGCTCAAGTTCTAAACAGCCGATGAGATCATTTTTTAATCCTACCAAATGTCAAAACTTTGAACTTTAACAAGTTAAACAACAAAACTGATAATTTTATACTTAGTTAATGTCATTTGCCAGCTTCAAAGCAATTAATCCCTATTTGTTTTGGTAATTACACTTATGGCAGGGAGAGGAAAGAATGAACAAGAATATGCATTAAATTCTCCAATCTTAAGGATTCAATGTCAGGAATATGAGCCCTATAGATTCAATTTCTTGAAATGCCTTTAACCATTTTAGTTAAACCCTCAAACAAGTATAATGAAAATGTTATTGAAATTTTGGCATGCAATAATTAGTTTTATAGACAAAGCATACCTGTTCGATCTTTGTGGGCAAAGTAGCTCTCTCACTAGCCTCTGGGGTCCATATCTTGACGTCACTTTCAATTCCACTGCTAGCAAGCACTGTAGAGTGAGGATGAGGCTCAATACAGTTTACCACTTCCTTATCTGCTTCCATGACACGAATGAGCTCTCCACCCTTTTTCTTCCAAATAAATATCCGCCCACAATCTGACCCACTGACCACATATTCACATTTCGGCCCACAGAAGTTCACTCCTTTTACCGTGACACAATTTCTGTGCCCCTTGTAAACTTGGGGAATAACTATATCACCAACATCCATAGTAGATGGAGATGAGGGATGACCAGGTGCCATTTCACTAGCGTCACTCCCAGTAGATAATGAAGAGGAAGGCACCAGGTTAGGCCCCAATCCCATATCCTGAGTAAATAAATAGATAAATTCATCATTGTATGAAACCAAAAGCTCACTCTGATCCGAGAAGGCCAAGCCAGTTATTCCAACTTGGTCACCACCAATCAAATTTGGAGGGCAAAAGTAATCAGCAGGTTGACCAAAATCTGTAGAACCATCCCACTTATATTTGCGAATATCATAAAGTCGAGTATACTCATCCGATCCAGCAACTGCAAAGAGATTTGGGTTTCTTGGATCAATTGCAATTGTATTTAGATTTACTACTGGCATGTAACTTCTTCTATCAGCAATTGGACGGCAAGTGAAAAGTTCAGTAGCAACCCGAGTTCTCAAATCAATCTGAAACATCATTAACAAGTATTATATCAGCACAAAACTAAGCAACACTAAAATCCACAGTAGAAATCCAACAATTAAAGGAAACATCAGCATTTGCCACTCAAAGCTGATTAACAGGGGATTTTCTGACTACATCTTTTCACTTAAAGATGATCAAGGTAGAAATCAAGCAGCTAGTTAACATGAGAATTGGTACGGGAAAAAGAGAAAATCAAGGAAGAATCGATTTTTTATTTTTATTATTTATTTTTGCATGGATTCTGATTCAATACTAAAGCCTTTAAATGCATCAAGTCAATAGGACCCTCATAAGAATTTAACAGTTTTTTCACCATGGCCATATGTTCAGTCTAGACTATGCCTCCAACTGAACTTGGATTATCTGGTGGAAGAAACTATACAATTAACAAAGAGGAATCACAACTTACATGTTGCACTAGTCCATCTTCACCACAAGTATAAAGTACATGGGGGCTTCCAGGCTCAATAGCCAATTTATGTGCCCGTCGTTGATGTTTGGCAAGCAAAGTAGTCTCCACTCCACCGCCTTCCAGAATTTGAGCAAGACGAATCTAAGAGCAATCAAAAAGTTATTCAAACTATAAAGGCACAACTCTATATGGTAAAATCTTGAGGACAAAACAAACGAAAAAAAGTATTCTTTTCAACAGGATGAATAATTTAAAATTTTGACAGGCTACGACAAATAAGCAACATTATCAAGAATATCAAAAATCTTTAAGACAAAGATAAACTTGTCCATGTAATTTGAAAACACATAACTCTTCATCTCCTCAAAGTATGGTGATCTTTAGGATATTAAGAGGAACTCTAGTCTGCATAATCAATGGTCTAAAGAAGCATGGAAATTGTTTAACTAAAATTTATTATAACACTACTGAATCATGGAAACCAGAGTATTTGACGAATCCTACAAAAACTAAAGTACAATGCTTTCGAAAAAAGTAATTACCTGCCCATCGGCAGCACAGGTAACAGTGCTGCGATCATCCGCAAACGGCAAGATCTTTGCCTGGAAAACATTGTTATTATGTCCAGAATGGAATGACAATTTGACACGCCCAGTTACCCAATCCCAAAGTATAACCCGCCTGTCATCAGAGCCTGACACCAGAATATCACCTTCTGCATTGAAGCTTACTGTGTTCACACAACCTCGATGTTTATCAAGCTTCTTGTAAATATCAAGTCGAAGGATAAGATCCTAAAACATAAATATAGTAATACAATAGTATCAGCAAAATATCTCTTATATTATTCACATTGAAAACAAATCTTTCAAAAAAAATTTTTCAAAACTATTTGCAACATAACTTCCTCACCGACCCATTCAAAGCATTAAACTTTAAGCGCATAAAAATAACTGAAAATTGTCGAAAAAACATGCATAATTAATCATTAAGATCATCGTATACAAATACACTTCTAGTTAGAACAACAACAGTGCTAAGAATCTCACCCACAGTTTGTTTCCCGGGAAAATTAATAAAAAAATTAACGAAATCGTTGTAATTTCAGAATGATAAGATACAAAACCTCAAAAACAGAACATATATAAATTCAATAAAAACAGGAATAAGAGTTTCCAGTGACAAGAATAAGAAGACCTCAGAAGCACGACGGCGGTACACGAAATTCCGGTTGGAGAGAAGGCCGAGTTCGCGTTGCCAAACATCGGCCACTGTAGCTTCTGTGTCTAGGATACTTCTAGGTCTCTTGTTCTTGCTCATTCTCAAAAGAACCAGAAAAAAAAAAAAATGTAAATTTATTCTTTGAATTGTGATTCTATTATGAATCAGTCGGGACGGACGGGTGGCAGCGAGTCGGTGAGCGGGTCAATTGGGATTATGAAATTAATTAATTTATGTCGAGGTGTCACTTAAAGGAGACAAAATCCTGTTCTAAAGCGCTTGTAACTTTGTATTACGATGGGTGTGCTGTTATTTTCTGACACGTGGCAGGATAAGGAATTTTGCTCCTTAATTTATATAAATCTATTAAACATATATAATCTCCAGAGGTAAATAATATTATCTAGAATAAAGGTATTGGGATATTTTATTAGATAATTAATATTAATAGTTGTGCAGTGGGCTTTTCGACGTCCAGATATAAGGATTTAACGATTAAGCTCAACTCACGTGTCGTTCACACAGGCAATAAATGACGTAAGATTATCAGTCTTAAGGGTGTTTAATCATACGCATAGGTGTGCTTGACTCAGCTTCGGGTTACAAGGGATTATACCTGTAATCCATCCCATAGAAACCACTATCCGACAGTGTATAAAAGGAAGAGATTACCTCCGTTTGGAGGGATTGACCATTCACACAAAAATAAAGGACCTATTTAGAAAGAGTTTATTCTCATTTTTAGGTATTTGACTATTTTCTCTATAATTAGTCCGAGTATAAAGCACATACAAAACAATAGCGTAACCGTGGATGTAGTTTAATTCTAATTTATTGAATCACTTTAAAAATTATTTTTTTTTAATCTTTCCATTATCTATTCTTAACTAGTTATTCATAATCATGCACACAACCTAGTCGATTGAGTATCTCTTATTATTGCGTTTTCAAGCAACACCATTAATAGTTAAACTTCTTATTGATTTAAAAAAAAAAAAAAAACCATTTTCAAATTTTAAACCAAATACATGAATTATCCTTGAATATTAAAATATAGCTATTTCCAAATTTTATTTTAAAATCTAAATCAAATAGATAAATTATGAATTATCCTAATATTAAAATTAAATTAAATAACTTTCCTCTGTTAGTAAATAATGCCTCAATCAAAGCATGGAGAGAACGTATTGACTGTGACTGGAGTTACATTTGTTTGACGCAATGGTGATTTTTAGTCAGGTGAGATGATAAAAAGTCTTAAGTATAATACTTAAGAGGTATTGAATTTGATTCTCCTCAGTTACTAATAGGAGTGACCATTGGAGAGTTTATGCGATTGTTAACTTCAAGGTGGGTTAACTTCAAGGTCCCAAAGAATTGGTTGAGATGTGTACAAACTGGTCAAATACTCTGTCACCAAAAAAAAAGAAAAAAAAAAAAAAAGTGATAATATGCATATCTGAAATGTTAGTGTTTGGACAAACAGGGATCATTGTGCCGGAGGTTTTGAATGCAGAATGTGACAATGCTTCAAAAGATGACAACCCAAAAGAACAAACACGAGATCAAAACTTAGAATTGTATTGACAAAATGAGAATTCATCATTCTTGTTTCTTACTTTGTTTCCAAAAATGGGAATGTTCCTGTAAAGATCCTAATTACTCTTCCCAAATTCTGAAATGTCAAATGGGCTCATAACAGTATTGTTGTCTTCTATTTTCATCATAATGTCACAATTATGGGGTGTTCAAAAAAATGAAAACACTACAACAAAATGGCTTACGATAATACATACTATTTATGATAACACTTACGGGGCGTTTGGTTCAGAAATGTTAGATTACTGAAAATGTTGGATTACTGGAAAGATAGATTACCTTGAAAGATTACTGGGAATTTTTAAGAAAATGTGTTTGGTTAGTTGGTGGATATGTTATATTAATATGGTTGGTTATGGGGAATAAATTGGTGGGTATATTATTTAAATTACCAAATTATCCCCTTCACAAATATTAATATAATATTATTTTTATTATTAATTTTTGAATAATATCTTTTAACCCCCAATATTTCAGATTTAGTTAAAACACCCCTGCTTATATAAAACTTTAATTTATTACGAAATCACCCCCACCTCCTGCCGCCGCCTGCCGCCACCATAGACCACCGCCGGAAGTCTCCGAAATTCCCCATCAGCAACTCACCGTGACTAAGAGGCTTCGATATGGCCGTTTTCGACCATATTGATGGCCGAAAACGGCCATATCAGACCAGATCTGGCCATTAATGGCCAAAACCCTGGCCATTATCGGCCAGATCTAGGTGAGATCTGGCCGTTAACGGCCAGGTCCGTGGCCGTTAACTGCCAGATCTCGCCTAGATCTGGCTACTAATGGCCGAGGATCTGGATTGATGACTCCCGGAGCCTCCCACTGAAACTCGTTCTTTTTTAGGGACTCTGATGAGTTTTCCGAGGCGGTCCGTGGTGGTTGGCCGCTATAGGCGGTGGTGGCTGGGTGGCAATGGTGGTGGCGACTGAGTGGCAGTGGTGGTGGTGGTGACTAAGTGGCAGTGGTCTGTAAATTGTTTTAAATACAAGGACATTATTGTCCAAAATTTTAGTTAAATAAGGGTAAAATTGAAATAGGATATTAATGTAAATTTATTTTAAAATGAGGGCATTATTGTCCAAAATTTTCATTAATAAGGGATAAAATTGTAACAAAAAAGGATAACCCTGGTAATCTCAGGATACCTAAGAAAATGGAGGTAATCAGATTACTTCCAATATTACCAATAGTAACTACTATTGATATTTGAAGATTACTGAAATCTTATATTACTTGACGTCCAAATGTGGTAATCAAGTAATATCAGATGACATTACCCCAATAATCTGACATTACCGCCAACTAAACGCCCCCTTAATGTTAAAATGTTATCATAACAATTTTTATGTGTAACACTTTAACTTTTTATAACACATTTATATCAATGGTAACTTTTTTTTAAAAAAAATATTATTAATATATATCTACAGTAGCATTTTTAAAGTTTTACAATAGATAGTAGCTTTTTTATAGTGTTACCATATAGTCAAAATACAATAACATTTTAAAAGTGTTACGTAAACCCAATTATTTACCAAGAAAGAAAATACTATTCCAGCCAATATGAAATGAGGTTCATTTTGTCTCATTTTTATTGTTTAAGGTCAATTATATTATTTGGGGTTTACTTTGTCACTTTTCATTCATGTAGGGACCAAATTTTTCTTACATATACCCAATCATTAACAGGGTAAATGACACCGAATTCCTGCCAACCCAAAATTTCCTAATACCCTCGTTCACTCGTTTTCAACTCTTTTAGCATACTATCTCAAACAAAATACCTTAATGTCTTCACTTAATCATCTTCATTCAGAAAAATCTATTGAAAATCATTGGCTTCATCCAATCTTTAGCTTAAAATCTCCGATACCCATAATCTATTAACCCTAAATCAAAGCCCTGGTCTTTGAGAGGTAAATTAGCGAAATACTCTTCCTAATTGGTTAAGCACTCTTCCAAATCCATGAAGATTAGTGAATTTTTTATTCACTTTGTTTTGTGTTTTGTTTTTTCATTGGTTTTCGACCTTCACCGTTATGGTTATTACTTCCGCAGGAAAGTTTATGCAATATCAATTATTGGGCATTTCCCAGTTGTTGTTACCAATTTGTTGGAATTAACAAGACTGTAAGTTTTTCCTATGCCATTTTGATTCGTTTAAGTTTTTTCTTCTGAATGAGCTCTAGAGTGTATCGCGTTTAATCTAGGTGTCTTTGAGTTGTGTTCACAATGTGGTTGTGAAATTCTTGATATCGTATTTGGAGATGTTCCAAAGAACTTGAATGGATTTAATTTCATATTTGTTGCCTCCGTCTCTGTTAAGCATAGGCAATGTTAGATGCACATTTATTTCTGAACTGTATGGCTGTTTGTGAGTGTTCCTGATCTGTTAGTCATGTAGAGAAGGCCAGCTATTTTTGAGCAAATGAGCTTAATGTCCTGAGACAACTTGGCAGTTTTACTAATATCCCAATCTTTCTTTTTTACCTAAAGAAAAAGTCCATTTATCTAGTGTTCTGTCTTGTGCATGTATACGCTTTACCACATGTTTTAAAATTGGTTCTTTTAGCTCAGGTATCTGGGAAATTGTTGCCTGAATTGACTAGGTAATAAGTTAATTGGCGTGTGTTCTGTTCGTTATAATATTGTATCATGGCTAGGTATTCTGCTGTTAATTACAATTGTAAATGATGTTATTTGCAGCTAAGCATGTAGTTGCTGTTGATTCTCTTCAAGTTATAAGTAAATTCCATTTGAGTCATGTGAGAGTGTTGTAACACTTGGAGAACTCCGTCTTAATGATTAATAGTCGTACAAAAATGGAAGATTACCCTTTTTGACATGTGAAGTAAAAAGACTAAAGTGGAAATCCTTTTGAATATTTGGCTGATTATAATAGTTTTAAAACTTATTGAAATGCTATAGAGCACATTGGATTATTTGAATCTCCAAAGTTGTTTACAAGTTCATCCTCGTTGTTATTGGCAAATTATGAAGTAATCATTTCAATTTACAAGCAACAAGAACTTAGCTGAATTCTAAGTTCTTTTTGTGCAGATGAAAATGGTGTCTTTCTAGCCCTTGAGTCATCAAGGTAGCTTCAACAATTCAATAAAATTTCATGTTTATCAATTGTTTAATGTGAGATTTTATTTTTCCTAAAATTTCTAAGTATGTTGTTTTTCTTTCTTTCCCTTCTGCAGAGCATGTTACTAATGTTGATTTTGATGTCGGAAATGGGAGCGCTCAGGAGTTACTTTCATATTTGAAATTCAGTTTCAGCGAGTCAGATTTCGCTAAAGCTGAGTCTATTTTGATGGCAAAAGAAGCCAAACTGAAGCTTGAAATCGAAATTACACAAGCCCATGAATGGCTCATGGAAAAATTGGTGCGTGAAGGAATGGAAAAACACAGAATCCAACAGTTTTGGGAACTACAAAAATTAAATTTTGAACTTACTCAGGAGAAAAATATTGTTTTTTTAGCAACAGAGAAAGGCTGAGAAGGAAGCAAGAGTTGGAGGAACAAATATATGCAGTTGGAGTCTTGGATTTTGTAATATTCTCTCTAGCTAGTAATTCTTTGAGAAATATATAACAAAATCCACTAAATAACTTTTGTAAACATATATGTATATAGATATATAATGTAAAATATGAAAGTTCTAATTTTAATTCATGTAAATATGTACACAAAATAACTGATATACTTTAATAAGTACAAGATAGTCTTGGATAATGTCGTCAAACCCCTCCACTTTCGGACGTCCCACCCAACCGTAAATCATCTAGTACCTGCAAAACAGTAAAATAACGGAGTGAGTACTAATTGCTCAGTAAGCAAACCAAATTGAGCTACTGTTTTTCCTCTGTCACTCATATTTCGACTTTCCTTTTCTCACTTTAATTTTTTATAATATTCTTCATTCTTTTCTGATATTTTGCATTCTTTTATGATACTCTAATTTGCTACTTATCAACGTGCAAAAATAATAAATATAACTATACATCATCGAGCACATAAGAAATACTGAATCATGTAATTAGCATAATACATATGCAGAATAATAAACTTTCTTAAGAAAATAACTTTCTTTTCTTTTCTGTTTACTGTCTCTTATGTTGTATCTCTTTCTTTTCTTTTCTATTTCTCTTTCTTATTCTGTTTCTCTTCTGGTTTGCTGATCGGACTAGGTTGAGGCATGAATTTGGAACCCTGGCCATGTGAGTGGGTACAGTCCTCATCTACATGCACTGCTGACGGACTATACAACTATTGTATCTCTCTATTGTGGCCGCTCACTGATGGTGGCCGCTTATTGATTGTGGCATGCATGTAGGTATTCTTTGATGGGTACAGTCCTCATCCACATACACTGCTAACGGATTGTACAAATACTGTATCTCTTTACTGAGGTCGCTCACTGATGACGGCATGCAAATGACATCTCTGTCCCTTACGGGTTCCCCATTGCAATAACCTTATATCATAACATGTTGTAGAAAGAGAATAAAAAGAGATACTATACACGCTTACTAGGGCATTTTTTAGCTTATCAAACCAAGCTCTTGGAGCTTGTTTGAGCCCATACAAGGCCTTATGTAGCTGACAGGCCTGCTTAGCTTGAGAGAAATCAGAAAATCCTTTTGGTGGCATCATATAAACCTTTTCGGTCAACTCTCCATTAAAGAATGCATTGTTTACGTCTAATTGCTACACTTCCCACTGATGATACATGACTATAGACAAAATAACTCTAATGGTTGCTACCTTGGCTACTGGAGAAAAGGTCTCAAAGTAGTCAAGCAAACGCCCTGGCCACAAGTTGAGCCTTGTACTTGGAAAGGGAACCATCAGAATTCAACTTAGTTTTACATACCCACTTGCTACCAACTACATTCATCCCATCAACACAAGGAACTAAATCCCAGGTTTGATTCTTTAAAAGGGCTTGATATTCAGCCTCCATGGTTGCTTTCCATTCTGGAATATTCAACATTGTAGCAACAGATGGTGGTTTAGGCTGAATAGTTTTGGTGGAAAGAAGGGCCTGAGGTATAGTATTTGAGACACCAGCTTTGGATCCCTTAGACCTAGTGATCATTGGATGAATATTGGCAGTTCTACTTACAACAATACACTTATGAAGAGCTATGGGAAGAACCACCTCAAGTTGAATACCATAATTTGATTGTGTTGAAGTGGACATGACAGAATCATCTGCAAGAGAAGGTACCTCAGGTTGAATCTCAAGACTAACAATAGAGGGTTCTGCTTATGTAGTAGATGCTGCTGGGAGAGAAGATAAAGAGAAGCCCTTTGTAGAACTTGCAGTGGGATTTACTGAAATTATGGCTACATTTGTGAATGATTTAGGTGGTAAAACTGAAGACTTGGATTGTGGCAATGTCCAGGCCTTTGAATTCTCACACACATCAGGTAAAGTATTAGAGGATAATGCATTTTGGAAACCAGACTTGAATGGAAAATCTTTCTCATTAAATCATACTTGTTTAACAATATACACCTGCCTGAAAAGTTCATGCACCTATAGCCTTCATAAGCAAGGCTGTTGTTAGACCGATCGTCACGGTCTAAAAATTAAACCTAAATACCATAGTAGCGGTAAGCAGGATCGAATCCACAAGGAGCAAGACTAACAACCTAATGTATTTTAAGTAGCGGAAATGAAATTGGCAATGGATTAATGAAACTAAATAGGCTAAATGCAAATAATGAAATAGTGAAATTAAAACAAATAAAGACTTTATAATAAAAACGTTGTCGTTACGGTTTTGGTTCGACACGAGACCGACTCACACAATTCTCCTCCACCCTCTACGACCCCCTACACCTACAAGGCAAGGTAAATCAATGAAATGGCTTCCCGACACTCTAGGTATAATCTATCCTGTCTCACCCGATCACTCAAGTTCGATTGGTTAAATGTAACGCCCCACTTGAGGTACGTAGTTAATGCTTATTCTTTTGCTCTTTTTGAGTTGATTCATTATTGTTTAGTTGGCCTTTAAGTGATAGGTTGAACATTTGCCTTGATATTGGTTGAAAATAGAAGAAGTTTAGTGTCTCAGTCTTTGTCGGGGCGAAGAAGGATCTTCGCCGCGGCGAAGAGGTGTTGAAGCCACGGGGGAAACTGCTGGACAGTTTCTCCGCGGCGACAGAGGAGTCCTCGCCGCGGCAACGTGCCAACCAAAAATGTTTGTTAAGTTTTAGATATTTTCTTCCCTAAGGGCAATTTGACCATTCTACCCCTAATTAGCAGGAAAAGTGGGGAGTAAAATGTAAGGAATTTTCCTGGAGAATATGTTGTTATGAGGGTATGTTTGTAATGAATCAAAGGATATAAATAGAATTCCCAAAGAAAAGTAAGGGCAAAATGGGAAGGCTTGTGTATAAATTTCATTAAAAGGAATTAAGTCATTTCAAAAACCCTTCATTCTTCTTCTCCATCGCCACTCTCCTCTCTTGCTTCCTCTCAATTTCTCTTTCTTTTGATCAAGGAGTTTGAAGGGCTTTTGGAGTGATTTGGGGTAGAAAATCAATCTAAGGCGCCCTAAGGTAAGAATTCTTGCTTTGGTTGTGAAGCTTGGTGAGTTTTTGAATATATTTGATTATTGAGGGTTTTTGTTCTTTTGTTTAAGAGTAGAGAAAAAGTCAAGCTTACCAAGTGAAAGGAAGAGCTAGTGGAATCTCTCCATAACAAGGTACGTAAACCCCAACCCAAGTTGAGATTTGGGAATTTTCTTGATTAGGGTTTTGATAGCACTTGTGTATGTATGTTATATACATGTTATATGCCATGTTGTTGAGGCTTAAATAGAGATTTCTAGTGCTTTGTGATTGTTTTTACATTGCAATATAAGAAGTGAGATGTGGGTTGGAAAGGTAGTTTGAGATGGAATTGAAGGGTATTGAGGAATCCTTTTGGAAGTGTCTTTCTTTGGTAGGATATGTGGCTATGTGAGGGGGTTTCTCCCCATTTTGGATGGTTAGAGAAAGATTTAGAATGATTGTTATAGTAGAGTTTTATTATGCACTTGAGTTGTTTGATGAAATGCCTAATAGAGGTTTGAGTTTGAGTAGTGAACCTTAATTCTTGCAACATTGCATGTTGGCATTTCATAAGTGCATTAGTGGAAATGAACCATCCATAGGCATTAATTGTGCATTGAGAAGTGACCTAAGAAAGAATAGGAAACTTTGTGTATGCACTTGCTCTTTGAGTAGAGAACTTTGTGGATACAACTACTCTAAGGGTAGAGAGAATGAGAAGTGCTAAAGTAGAGTGAATGAGAAGAGTAGTAGAAATGGGTTGATGCTTTGTGATCATCACCCAACAGTTATGAGAATCGGGTTGATGCTTTGTGATCATCACTCGACTAATCATTAGAAATGGGTTGATGCTTTGTGATCATCACCCAATGGGTAGTAGAAACGAGCGGATGCTTTGTGATCATCACCCGGTTAGTTATTAGAAAAGGGGTTAATGCTTTGTGATCATCACCCGACATTTATTAGCAATGGGTTGATGCTTTGTGATCGTCACCCGAAAGTCATAAAGAACGGGTAGGTGCTTTGTGGTCTTCACCCGATAGTTACGGAAACTGGGTAGGTGCTTTCTGATCCCCACTCAGTAGTTACTAAGAAAGGGTTGGTGCTGTGTGAACTCCAACCGACAGTCATGAAGAGAGAGATGATACTGTGTGAACGCTATCCAGTCGTACCTCCGGTAAGATGAGGCCATGACGTTTAGTAGAAAACAATAGAAAGAAAGTATGAGGAAAGAATTAAGAGAAATACATACAAGGATAAACAGATAGAGGGTTTTACTTACTGAGCATTATTTTGTGCTCACCCCGTTATTTTCCTTTGTAGATGCAGGATCTAGGTGATATTGCAGTCGGAGGGACGCCGGCAAGCGAGGAGCAATAGCTACACTGTTTCCCCTGTTTTTGTCTTTAAAAATGGCTTTCTGTAAATGATGCTCTTGTGTATAAAAGACTTAATACTTATAATAAAAAGAAAAGTTTTGGGCCCATTTTCTATTGTTCTTATGCATGCATTGTACTAGTTTATAGCAGTTGTTACATTTTTGGTATCAGAGCAAAGATTTTGGGATTAAACAGTGTACTATTCTCATCGCCACGACGTCCTAAGACCGACTGTGTAAGTTGATTCTTTCCTTACAAGTTAATTGTTTCTCGAGTTAATTGGTGTGATTATTTTGTAGATGAGGCGTAGTTACCGAAAACGTGGTAAAGGTGTAGTGAATGAAGGAGAACCTTCTAACCCACCAGAGTCTACGCCCCCTCCCTTGGATGAAGCTAGAATTCGGGGAATTATACAGCAAGTTATGGCAGAAACCCAAGGGAGAGTTGAAACCCCCATACAGGTACCGCCAGTTGTGCACGTCGAAAGAAGACAACCGGTACCTCCCCCAGTACAGAGCAGAGTTGAACCGATTTACAGTCTTTCCAGTCAACATCAACCCTTAGAGTTTAAGGGTACTACAGATCC